CAAGATAAAGGTAACCTCTATTGAATTGATATCTATCAATCATTCTCAATTGCATTTAGTAATTCAATTTTAGATTGATTCAAATATGATTAAGAGCAATTACTAAAAACCCAATTACCTCAATTACCCAAAACGTCCTCAGGATCAATGACTCAAGAACATCGTGAAATCCTAACAGCCAATCGAATGTTACTTGCTGAAAAATGTCAGGATCAAATCTCACCGATATGTGAATATTTACTTGGAGCGAGTATATTAACATCATTCCACAAACAAACAATCGAATCTAAATTGACGGCTTTTGAGTAAGGAATTTTTATATAGTACATGTTCAGTAACTGTTAAACAGTATTCTATCTAATATGCAATGGCAGGCTAAATTAATAGTTTGTTTATTTACTGCAAGAATAAATTTTGTAGTCGGAGAGCAGTTATCGTAATTATTTAATTCTGTTTTACAGAAAAGTTTGGACTTTATTGGATATTCTGCCTGAGCGTGACGATAGAGCCTTTGATGAGTTTTGCAATGCTTTAACATATTGGAAAATAACAGTGGAAAACGTCCATAGTGGTAAGCATTAAAGTTTACGAATAGACCTAACGATTAAAACTTAACGATGTGATACATGATTATCCCACTTTCGAGTAGAAATAACAATAAAACGATCAGAGTAGAGAATAGTACATCAACTATATAATGAAATTAGATTTTCAATTTACAGTTTTGTTATACTGTACTCAACTAAATCAATAGTTGGTATTTCAGCTTATTACGCACAGAACGAGTACCGGTAATTAATAATATAGCTTTTTCGTAATTTAGAAAGTACAGCTTTTTCCGAAACTTTAGCTGTAAAGGGCCTGTGATAGCTAAAATTGCTCTATCGCTAGTCAATTGATAGAATCTGTTGCATCGATCAAAGTAATCCCAACTTTACAGCTCCTGTATTTGCGTGCACTTAAAAATAGAGCTCATTTAAAGATCGAACATTTAACATGTATATAAATAACATTTAACATGTATATAAATACTGAATTAAATTTGACATTAAGCAGTACGTATTGAATTAACTGATCAAGCTTAGAATTTTTGTGATTAATTTATCTTTATTACATTGAAATATGATTTTTGATTTTTCAATAGGGTAGTTGGAAGATATTTATGTTGTTATTGATAGCGTTAAGTTGTGCCTACAAGATCGCTCATTTTGAAGTATAAACGTACCGTAAATTTATAAAATCTTATCTACTCTATTTTACTTCTAGTGATATTAACTATTCTGAATTGTAACACACGTATTAATTATGCTACTGCTACTCCTAACTTTGATAAAAGCAATATAAAAATTTCATTGTTTATTACCAATAGCATTAGTTAGCTAAGTTTGGTTGCAATATCCATGACTTACTTTTTCTACTGAAAAAAATACTTCTCGTATTCTGTCATACTGTATTGTCATCAATAGCAACATAATAAAATTACTTAAATAAATAAAATCATAAGCAATTATCATAAATCAAGAGACTTAATTTCTGAGCCTATAATTGCTTAATTGAGCTCTTATAACTCAATACTGTACTCTATTGAGATTAAAAATGTAGTAAACTCTTTATCAAATGCTCGAGTAGTCAAGCTAGAAAATATAAATACTGGATGGTGTAAAATGATAAAAATAACCTTTTCTATCCGGTTGGCAAGTAACTAAAACAACGTCATACTTACATACTTACGTCATACATATCTTGCTTCTAATTTATTGATGGTCTATTTGTGCTTATTTGCTTTTTTTCATGATCAAAATAAATAGCATTATAAGAAAATAATGTTTTATTTTGCCTTGGTTGAAATAAACCAACAATTTAATGGACAATATTAGCAATGCTCAATGTGATTGATTTCAATCTTTTAGCTTCGCCATCACAATCACGTTTTGTGTAAGAGTCTGCTGATGTAAAAATTAAGTTTTTAACATTTTATTCCTGTACACAACGAAATGACAATATGATAAGCATCATAAATTTACTTTAAATACTTATGGAGCACTTATAAATTGCTGGTGAAAGATAAAACATTTATAATTGTAAAGTATTCTAAAGCGTTTGTTAATTACGGTTTCTATTCATTTTTGCTTGTACTAATCGTGAGTTAAACTTGTTAATGCTGTACTATTTTATGCAAAGTGACGTTGTTTCAGACGGTAAAATTAACCTACTTTATGAAAGTTATAAAGATTCTGAGAAAAAAGAAATCGTTTGCTATAATGAATTGTAAGAAGAGCTAGTTAATTGCCAGTTATCGAGTGTGAATAGCTTCTAGTCATGATTGCTACGAAGTACGAAATTAAGACGAAATTGCTTTACTGTATTTGATCTTTCCATCTCGCTCCAGGCTTGTCCTGCCAATTTGTACGACATTTCATCAAGACAGTATGAGCTAAAACGAGTAAAAGACTCTTGAATAATTGGAGTCAATGGAAGATCAAATGAATAAAATCAAGTAGAATCCGTCTATGGTTCGTTTAAAATTGCACCATCGGTACCTTTCCTGTAATCGTCGAGCGCCACTGCTCATGGAGCGGGTACAACCTTTGTTGCTATTACCCAAGTTTGAGAAGCTACTCTAGTACTCCTCATGGAGAAATTGATTAGTCTTGTACAGTAAACGGACAGTTTATAAGCTAGAATACATTAGTGTACTGCATCAAATCGCAGTTTCGATAGCATATCAGCTTCCACGAGAATGCTCCTGTCTTGATTATTTTAGACGAGTTAGTACTTGGTATAAGATGGTAGTACAGCTAGTGCACCTGTAAAATGTCATGACCTGTTTTAACCAGAGTTGAGCAAATTACCCTGATGTTACCAGTTAACCGCTCAATATTGGTTTTGAACTTATTGCATTGGTATCAACTTCATGTAGAAACAGTTTAGGAAGCTTTAAGAAGTAAGTTTACTTAAAATAACGTAGTACAGCGTGGAGACTGTCCAAATTCTCTGTTCCATTTTGCACTGTGCAGCATTTTTAGAGCTGAGATTGGTATATTATTTTGACTAGGAATAATTTGTGAGCATGCACGTATAGCATAGACTTGGTAATTCTCCTCCATGTAGTTGATGAAAGTACCAACCATGTCCATTTTAGCTCTATTGTCTGAAGCCAACATTAGCGTGCCTTGGGCATCAATGTTAAAGTAGCGTAAATTAGTGCATACGAGAAATAAGCGTAGATGATTCGTTTCTTTTAATGTTGCATCTTTTAGCCTCCTTGAATTAATATGAAGATTGTTCTTCCGATGGCAGAAATTACTGTTGGCCACTGTTTTATTGGCGATCATCATCGATGATGAGTCCAATAACTAAGCCATCTTGCTGAATCGCTTGATATCATCTTCATCATGCGCTACTGTATTCCGTTGATTTTTTACTGTCATTTGTCAAACAGTTTATAAAAGTATACTAAAAATTTTCTTTAAATGGTGTATATTAACAATTTATTGATTGTTAATTATTGAATAAAATTAAGGTAGTAATCATATGGAATTGCTATGGATTGCAGTACTTCCAGTATGTATGAAGGGTTACATCTTGTATCGATAGCATGCAATTTGCAATCAGGCCAAACAGTACTCACGCCAATTCTGTCAGAAGATTTTAATTTGATCTTACTTTACTCTATTCCGATCATAAAATACTTCTTGTTTGTTGAAAACTGTTGAGTTATGCTCGTAGAAATGATTACCTATCCTTGAGAATGAGTTCTGTGAGCATGGATTGAAGCTGAACTTGTTGACTAAGAAGCTTCTTTGGCGCGAGAATGCAGCGAGCGTAAGTGCTGAGAGGATGGTGCCTTGTTGTACTGCAATGCCTGTATTGGATGCCTGTTGCCAATTAAAGTAGAATATGCTACTGCTGATCAGTCAAGTGATTAATCCGTTTTATTGCATATCCAATGTTGTAATCCGTTGTTGATGTATCTGGTTAGTCTAAAAAATTCATGATTGCGATTGTACAATCTTTATTAGTATGGCTTACAATTTGACCATGCAAATGTTTATCATTAATTCATCATCGGACTACGAACGTTGTATACAAAATGATAATATTTGTTACAAGCAATATCTTTTATTAAATTTATGGTATTCTTTGTTGAGCTACAGTAGATTCAATGGATCGGATAATGTCAATGATGTATATTGAAATAGACTGCTATCATTTCTCTATGTCTCTATGTTATATAATATTCATCGCTATTCTTTCTCGCAGTTTACTATCAGTAACCTATCCTGAACAGTCGCCCCTTTAAGTTATTACTTGATGAATTTCATAGTTGATAATTTGAGAGTTTTATATGGCAGTAACAAGCTCATTATCAAATTGAATTGCAATGAACACAGACTGCGGAGCCACGACAATAAATAGCGTATGGTAGACTGCAATTAAATTGTTGATAAAATGATAGTTTTATTGATAGACTGTAATAGAAGAAAATGGATAAGGATAATATGTCAACTATCCTTATTTAGAGAGAACGATATTTTGTTGGTAACTTGTATCTACCCATGCAATAGTTCATTGGCATCAAACTTTTGCAAATAACATGATTGACGGCTTACTAAGCTAACAAGATATAAGAAATTCGGTAGGGAAGATACTCGTAGGTTAATCTTAAACTCGTATTTAATAAACTAATACAAATTAGAGCTGTTCTAATTTCATAAGGTCTTATGACTATGCACAAATCATTGCAAAGAAACCTAATTTATTTATTTACCTTACCTTCATTTTATTTATTTACCTTACCTTCATTTTATTTATTTACCTTTATCCGTCGGCTATCGCATCATCCACATAGGGACTACTTACGAATAAAAGCGTGTCATAGCCGCAGGTTTAACTGGGATTTCTAGCAAGCAAGCTTCATGGTTATCAATAGAGCCCTTCCTCGTGCAGGACTTTGCAAGGAGTTTTTATAGTTAGGAAATAACCAATGAGTTAGTAGTCTGTAATCGCTGATACACTGTAGTATTTAGATGTGCTGATCAGTGCGTGTATTTAGCGTATATGTAGTTGGATAGAGCTGTTTAGCCGAGTAGAGTTTTATGTCACCTGTCCTTCTCTTTTTATCCATTAGCCCCTGTTGCAAAAAGCAGCGCGCAGTCGGATTGGTAGGATTAAATCTACGTTACAGCAAAATCATCAAGTTGTTATTAGCCGATTTTTAAAACATCCATTGGTAAGTAACCTATTTCGTTAGGTATCCATCATTATACATTGTATTTCAAGTAAAAATAGAAATTAAAGATAGGTAAACGACGCCAACGAAACTATATTGCAAGCATCCTCTCTTATTTTACACTATCATTGATGTAGCTAGCATTTATTTGCTGTTGTCTATTAGAATAAAAAGATTGTTATTTGATGGTTATTATGATTATGAGTATAATCTATTTGTAAGCTGGAATGCATTTTGTTAATGTACACGTAAGCACACGATTGTTCGATAGCGTTGCCTTCAGTAATTATCTACAGAGATTGATTTTCGGATAATCTTCCATGCGGAATTAATAGACGACATTGTAGAAGTTGATTTATTGATGCTTGAAAATTGTCTATAATGGAATAATTGATGTTGTTCTGTTGAACTACGACTAACACGCAAGTACAACCATTTCGACATAATCTCATTAATACATGGAGATAATATCGATCCGATGATTAGTCATTAATGGTTGCAACGAAGCTTGATTTGAATCTTATTTGTCTCTAACCTGTCGTTCAAGTCTTTAACTCACATACTATTGAATTGAGTGCAGGAAAAGATGGCTGATGATGAATCTGTCTCTTCCACGAGTGGGCTTCCTCACCATACCCGTATACAATCACTGTACGACAAGGGCAACTCATGCAAGACTGCCTTCCACTTGGTGGACGGACTATCTTGTTATACACAAGCTGTCGATGCGATTGCTTCGCTGTCGAATCCTAGTGCGGATATTGATCGACTTGCATGCGATATTTATCTTGGTCTTTGTGACATTTACACTTTACAATATCAATTCAAGGAAGCTGTTGAATGGAGTGAAAAGGGACAAACTGTGGCTACTAAACTGCAAGATGAAGTGAGCATGGCTCAATGTTTACAAAGAGAAAGCGAGATTAAGAGATGCCAAGAAGATTTCAACGGAGCATTGGAAGACGGTAAGAAATCGTTGGAAATGAAATTAAAATGGTTAGACGAAAAGGATGCTCGTCTTGCCGATAGTTATCATCAAATTGGGTGCGTCTACTGGGACTTGTGCAAGTACGATCAGGCTATGGATATGTTTGACAAGTCACTGCAAATTCGATTGTCAGTCCTTGGTCACAATCATCCTGATGTTGCGCGGTCATATAACAGCATAGGAGTTGTCTATGATCACCAAGGCAAGTCAGATCAGGCTATGGAGATGCATAACAAGTCACTGCAAATTCGATTGTCAGTCCTTGGTCACAATCATCCCCATGTTGCGTGGTCATATCACAACATAGGAGTTGTCTATGATCACCAAGGCAAGTCAGATCAGGCTGTGGATATGTTTGACAAGTCACTGCAAATTCGATTGTCAGTCCTTGGTCACAATCATCCCCATGTTGCCAGTTCATATAACAACATAGGAGTTGTCTATCATCACCAAGGCAAGTACGATCAGGCTGTGGATATGTATAACAAGTCACTGCAAATTGGATTGTCAGTCCTTGGTCACAATCATCCCCATGTTGCCAACTTATATCACAACATAGGACTTGTCTATCATCACCAAGGCAAGTACGATCAGGCTGTGGATAACTTTAACAAGTCACTCCAGATCGCAGCCTCAAGCGGAAATGATGGCCTAGTTACAAGGATAGGAAAGAATATCGAAATCACTCTCCAGAAGCAGAAATCGTCGACATCAATAGCGAGAAATTGGATCAAAAGTATCGTTGAACTATTTCAACCGAATCAAACCAACAACGTCACAGCGCCAGCAAATACTATCGACGGCAGTCACAACAATCAAGACGTACAAGAGAAAGGTAAGTGGAGTTGTAATACAGTAGTAGACAAGAGAGCGATGGATAACCGTAACCCTATTCTGTATTTTGTTGTTCTACAGCTTTGCAAGAAAAGAAATATTACAATGCATATCGCAAAAGCTTAAAACATGGTCATTGCTTTAATCATTTAATACGAGGCATGTTCATTGGCGCTCGCAATGTGGGGAAAACTTCTGTTCGAAAAATATTTACCAACCAACGACTCAACAATCCATCTCCGACACAAGTGGCTGAGAATTTGGATATTACGGTAGAGACTGCATATTATAATGTTATGAACTTAGAGGGTTGTGATTGGACTGAAATACTAGACGATAAAGTCAAGACAGTCATACAAGACTTAGCCCAAACAAGTATCGATCGTCAACATAACCTCAGTCAGCCAGTAACCGACATGGATCCAATACATCAACCCGTTATAACCAATAATCCACCTGTGTCAAATGGGCAACAACACAGTGTCGATTCTTCTGCAACTGATGTCATTACGCAAGATGGAGCGATAGCAAGGAAAGAGATTCCAATTCAATCACAGTCTAAACGAGGCTTACATCAATATTACTGTTCGTCGATCGTCGATCAAAATACAGACAAAGACGATAAAAATCAGTATGTTAAAATATGGGATTTCGCAGGTCATGCCGTCTATCATGTTACTCATTATCCCTTTATCTCCGTCAATAGTATTTATATTTTAGTATTTAATATTAATCAAGACATTAACGACAAGGTAACAACAAGGAACAACCAATCACTCAAAACGACGTATTTACAAGCTATGCAAGAATGGCTTACATCAATCATAGCTGGCCATACAAGCCAAAGTACCATCAATGTCAACATTCAAAGTGAAGATGGACAGCATTTACCACCTTCACAGCATTCATTACCTATTATTATTTTAGTAGCTTCTCATGGCGATTATATTACCAATGAAGAAGATGGACGTACTCGATTCAATCAATTTGTGTCTACATTGACGTCTCGCATGCCTTCTTATGCCAGTCATATCTATTCTTCTGGTATTATTTTTGATTGCAATCCTCTTGATAGTACTCCGTCGACACTGCAGCAGCGTCGACAATGTTGTCTTCGTTTACATGGTATCATTAAGGCATTTGTACAATCGCTGCCATTTATTACGAATCCTATACCTATTCGATGGTATATCATGGCTACAATATTAAATAAATCGCTCCCTACTAACAGTAACAATCAATCCGCATCTTCAATTATCAATGAAATTAGACATTCTCAAGTCCATAATATTATGACAATGCAACAAATAGTAACCTTGTCTCAACAATACGGATTATATGAAAACCATGATGAATTAATCGCTATGCTAATGTATCTACACGATTTAGGAGAAGTCATCTACTGTGATAAAGTAGGCGACGACGGAATTATTATAACTAATGTCGATTGGTTATTAAATATATTTCGTTCCATTATTCAATTACAAGATTTTGTACAAGGAGGTGCACAGATACAACGCGACTATGAGAAAGCCAGCACAACAGGAAAATTATCAAGATCCTACATTGATCATGCTATTTATAAATTTAATTTAGACGACGATAGTAAGCAAACTATATTGGCACTCATGGATGCTTATGATATTCTATGTTCAATTACAAATGAGAAGAACGACAACGGAGAAGAATGTCAATACTTTGTTCCATACTTGTTACGAGATGATGTTAAGCCATTTGATTTACCAAAATGTCATCAATCAGATTGGCTCTACATCGGATACGAGCGTACAGATATTCCATATCTTCCAGATGGAATTTATTATTGCTTATTATCTTCTTGTTTAAAGGAATGGAATAATAAGGACGTAAAATTATGCTATCAATGTTCCAGATATTATTTAGAAAATGACGATCATTACCTTGTAGTCAAGAAAGAGGAATCTCACATCGGTTTACAATATTGCTATCAGAAAATAAATGAGCCCAAGACAAGTCAATTGATTAAGGATAAAGTTAAAAATTCTATATTTGTCAAACGGCCACACGAAATTGTCAAGAATAAACTCATCTCCACTGTCAATGAAAGGATGGTCAAGTTTAAAGGGGCTGATTGTCGATATTTCGTCAAATGTAGTGAATGTAATACACAAACAAGTATAACCGAAGAATACAAGGAAGGAGATCAAAATTGCATTCAATGTAAGCATTGTAATATGTACTTTGAGAGTCGATCTTTGAACGATTGGATGATTTATAATGAAAATTTCTGGATAGGTAAGCATGTAAGAATAAACAGCAGCTTCATTCTTATATTATCACTTTTCATGATATAATAAACTATAGTCATACGCTAGAGCAAGCAAAGAGGCATAAATGTACTCTATCATAGCTATTTTACTATTTAATATAAGGTGATTTTGTAATAGCGTAAACAATAGTTGATTATTATCAAGAATTATGGGCACTAATTTACTGTACTGATTACTTGAACGATAGAACTATTAATCGATTATTGCTATTTTTATTCCACTACTTTAGACCGATGGAAAGATACCAAAGATGAAGGTAAACCTCTATTGAATTGATATCTATCAATCATTCTCAATTGCATTTAGTAATTCAATTTTAGATTGATTCAAATATGATTAAGAGCCATTACTCCGTATAAATTCTAACATAGGAATACTTTACCTCGTCAATTGATGTAATACTTTCAGCTACGTTTGCCACTGATGATATGATCGCATCCAGTTTTACTAGATAATGATATCGCCAACGAATTTTTAAGATCGTAATTAGAATATTCTAGCTACTAGTAAGCTACTTGACACAATAAATAATGATTTATAAATTAAAAAATATTCAATCTTAATTTTTTTCTACATTGTTTGTCTAGTAAGCTTTATAAGATTAGCTAACCACCAGTGAAACATCCGAATAGTAGATAATCATTTTATGAGTTAATTTTCCGATTTAAAATTTGTTCAGATTGTTTATCCAGTAAGCTTTTAGAAGAGTTCATAGTAATAAAATTGAATCAAACCTAAAGCGACAATTAAAAATCCTAAATCGTAGTATTAACAGCAGGTTGCATTTTATAAAATATCATCAGTTTTAAAATTACAGTTATTATGAAAAAGCATTTGCTATATCATTGCTAATCATGCATTCTAGATCAGATACAACCTTGGCGACTTGAACAATAGTTCATGTTCTCCATTTTATTTTTAATATAGAAATGGATACAGGGTTCTTCGATATAATAGCAGAGAAACTCCATATAGACGATTTATTACGTTTGGGAATCTTGTTGCATTTGTCAGAGACAGAAATTGACGAAATTAAATTAAGAGAACAGAGCCGCTACGATAAAGTGTACAAAGTTCTAAAATTGTGGGAAAATAATGCCGGGCAAAATGCTGATATTTATGTTGTGGTTGCAGCTTTACGTAAGATGAAAAAGATTTCTATAGTGGACCAACTGGAAGAAAAAATAGCCGGATGGAAGAGAAGCATATGATGGCTATAAGTGATCCAAGCATAATTAATAATGGGCATTTCTTCTTCAATTTTTTTGTGGAGACATGTTATACTAAGATACTAGTAGATCTCTCGCTCGTTATAGTTCACGTACAACATTGTACATCTTAGCTCCTGATAAATAAATCGTCTAATATTTTAATATACAGTAAAATAAATTTTGCATGACTCTAATATTAACGAATAAGATTACTTTTGGTAATGAAGTGGCATCGATATTTTAAACTTTATCGCTATTGTGGAATGTAGTTTTGAAGTAACTAGTACAGCAGCTGCTTTAAGCCGCATTTGGATAATACGTCTAATTGATCTCAAGCAATTTATCGTCCGAATTTACATTGCTTAACTTTAGTAGTTTTAACTTTGCATCGTGCAACATATTTTATATACTGTATATATAACTTCAGCATAGATCAATTTGTACTGGTGCAGCAGATTACTTTACGCGTGTCCTAGCTAATAGCTCTAAACAAGGAATAAAGGCTTTGTTGCCTATCGACCTATGATAATTTTGCAAGTGGATACTAGACCATCATTTCTAGTTAATACTGATTTGAACTAAAATTCTTGATTTTAGAAACTGTCGTCAGTTTACACAGCGTTATACATTGTCCAATAGTATTAAAAATGTATATACATGCTATCATATAATCTCACTCTCTAGATTTATTAGCTTATAAAGTGATCCACAATTTCTGTTTCATAGTTTTGCTGCAGTTACGTTGTCTTACCTTACTAATATTACTTTAATAATGAAATAAGTATTAATCTGTTGCAAATCAGATCTATCTTACACCCATGCAGACTGTCGGAAATTCCTACATTGCACAAAGGAATCGGTAATAACATATTTTCTGTGCTTGTATTCATAATGGCTACAATATACGAGGATCAGTCAGATGATGATAGACTTAAGTAGAGATTACATATAGTGCACTAACTCGCAAAGTAGCGTTATAACATATTATACAAGTATTAATTAGTGTTTATAAACATCATAATGCAGTTAATCAAACCTAACAGCAATATAAGCTTAGTAGTAAAAAGATTGAGCAGTGTAGTAAATTCATAATAGCACATCGATAAGTCATATTTTTCCGCATTAGTTATTACAAAGCAGTTTTGCAAGCGTTTACGAATAATAATAAATTAATAATTAAATTTGAATTTTCAAGTATTTTCCAGCCATCTCACATTCTTCGAATTTAGTACAGTAATATATTGAAACCAGTATGCTATTATGTACAGTATTCGTAATATCCACCACTTATTGCAAGTAAAATACCCACCTTTTAAAATTGAATATCATAAATTGATATTCCAAGTACGAGCAGCCAACGGCCTCACAAAAAGTAAAAACTTAGCAGCAGGGATTTTTACCAGAAATTCTCTGCTAGTAGCTTACAAGTTTGTTGTAGGAATCTCTTTTGGGTCGTTAACACTACCCATTAGTGTCAGTCATATTTTGCAAATGTGATTCATCAGCTAAAGGATCAGAATAAATTAAACTTTAATTACTTGCAACTTTATTCTACTTTGGCATAGTAGGATAACGAAACCTGTCTCTCATTATAATACGTCTAAGCAAATATCAATAAATTATAACAAATGGACTACTCATACATAAAAACTATCTACATAGAATCATACGTCAGCGTTTCGAGCATAAGGCAGCTAACGAGCTTACAAACAGCAATAACTTGTTGGCTTACAAGTTTGTTGAAGAAGTCTCATTCGATTGCAGTAGTTAAAACTATCCATCTGTGTCAGGCATGCTTGATTTATCCGCTAAAGGTTCGTACGTGGATCTTGTAAGTATTACTTATTTTTTTAAGTTGGCCATTGCACAGCCAAGGTTGTTCTACTTGCAAATTGTATTGTTAATAAATTAAACTTTTAACTTTTTTGGCAACATTATTCAGAGTTAGCACAGTAGGATAAACGAAATCTGTAAGGAATAGTAACACGTACAATGCAATGTCTATGAGATAAAACACTTGAAATCCATAACTAATAAAACATAAAATTGGAATACGAGCATCAGGCAGCCAGTAATCATGCAGAAAATAGTTACTTAAAGGCTTACTAGTTTGTGGAGAAGTCTCTTTTAATGCGTAAAAAATATCCATATGTCTTCGTACTGTTCTGCCAATGTGATTCATCAGCTAAAGGATTGTATATCCTGTCAGTTTTATTTTCCAGAAATGAGTCATTGCACAGCAAACATGTTCTAATTGTTAATTGTATTGTAGTAAATTAAACTTTTAAAATAGTTTACAGCCATCTTGCCACATTATTCCAGTTTACTACAGTAGAATAATGAAACCTGCATGTTATTATTGTTATTATAACTCAATGCAATGTCTGTGATTGATGACAGTTAAAAATATATGACTATTGAAAACATAAAAATCGTGTATCCACATTCCAAGCACGAAGCCGCCAATGCCATTTCAATCAACAGTAACTTAGAGTAGCTTACAAAATTGTTACCAAAGTTCTTATCATCAGTTAAAGCTATTCGTCTATGTCGATAATTTATTATATTATCATCGTTCATGGGCTGAAGGATCGCACGAGCTCGTAGGTAATATTTCAACCATTAGACATTGCATAACAAACGTTTTATATGTACACTTGTCAATTGCATAGTTGATCAATTTGAAATTGTACGTCCATTTGTTAACTTGCATTTACCTTATGATGGGTATACTGTATATATAACCCAATTAAGCCTGTAAATCATGCTTGGTGCAAATCTTGGCCATTCATTAGCTGGCTTATAACATACTTGAAGGTAGGTAAATTCATTTTCCAGTTGAACCGTGAAACAAAGTTACCAACGGAATTAACTTAAAAGTGAAATCGCATCGGCATGATACATGAAAGCAATCATTGCTTGTCATTGATCATGTTGCTATTGGTCAATATGGAGACGAATTATGATCGATTGATGGCTTAATGAGGTCTTAGTTAACTGTAGACAGATGTACTGTACTGTGAATGATGTCGAAAATCATCTTGCATTACACTGCAAGATGATGCCAAGACAGTAGATTGACTATCGAGTTCAAGCTTGTCTCACTTACTTTGAACGAATGGACCTGTGTCAATCATTTCATGAGGGAATTTTCTACTGTATCAATGATGATGATAGTACCGTATTAATAGAAATGTCTACTCTCTCCACACTGCTAGCTACTGCTGTGATATTTAAATAAACACTTACCTATTGAAAAAGGATACTTTGCCTTTCAGAAGTTCCTTTAGTGAGTGGTAGTTTAGCCCTAAAGCATCATTACTAACATGTCGGCATAATCTTCCTCCTCCAGGCTTGTTATGCCAACATTTACGACGATGTTAGTTAGTATTTTCAAAAGAATCTTTGGGCGAATTAAATCCAAGAATCTGTAAGACAAATTGATCGAGATATCAACTCAGTGAGTCTTGCTTCTGATTCGTATTCATTCAATAAAGTAATTGACTTACAATTCAGCAAGTCAATGGATTTTCACCACATGGCTTCAAAAAGGAAGGAAGGAAGAAAGCGTGAAGTTTCATTGGACCGATCATGGTTAGTCAAGATCTCTCTCTCTCTTCATTAAGTTGAATCGGATTTCTGTTGAGTAGTTAGTAAGCATCGTTCGGCAATCTAATCGTTATAGTCGATGAATAAAGGCACTGTTGACTAACGTAGTATCCAACTTGATAATCAACATGGATCAATAACATAGATCCGACTTGATAACCAACATGGATCAACAACATAGATCCAACTTGATAACCAACATGGCCATAGCTTGGAAAATTACAGTAAATGAAAAATACCTCTATGGTTAAAAGATTGATCCAACTTGATAACCAACATGGCCATAGCTTGGAAAATTACAGTAAATGAAAAATACCTCTATGGGTAAAAGATTGATCCAACTTGACAACCAACATGGATCAACAACATAGATCCGACTTGATAACCAACATGGCCATAGCTTGGAAAATTACAGTAAATGAAAAATACCTCTATGGTTAAAAGATTGATCCAACTTGATAACCAACATGGCCATAGCTTGGAAAATTACAGTAAATGAAAAATACCTCTATGGTTAAAAGATTGATCCAACTTGATAACCAACACGGCCATAGCTTGGAAAATTGCAGTATTGACATGGTATTGGCATCTATTGCAACTGGTGTAGTTGATCATTCAGTCCGGTTTTCAGGCCAATTTCACCGCATTCTATCCTTTCCATCAAGACAAGGTTAGCCAAGACTGGCAGAAAGTATTTGTAGCTCACTACAGTAGAAGAAATACTGGATAGAATCAAGTTTTAGCCAACGGAATGGCAACAAATTCTCAATCTACATGAGTAGAAAATTTTACTGTCCAATACAGTGCCGATAGAGGATAGCTAACAGTATGGCTACCCTCAATCATCGAGAATACTGTTGCAAACAGTGTTCTTCTGAACAGATACAGTATGGAGTTCCAGCAGTCATGCTAGGGATGGTATGGGTTACCATGGACTACAAAAGTAGAGCCTGGTAGTCGAAGGATTTCCTTTAGCTTGGACAGTTGCTGCTGCTGGTTGCTAAACTACTTTTATACTTGGTTGCCAATTCTGCATTAAAAGCTAGAGGCCATAGAATATCCCGCAATTCATACATCTGCTTGTAGAAGAAAGAGAGATGGATAGGAACATTTGTGTTCTTGTACTTGGCGATATTGGTAGGAGCCCTCGTATGCAGTATCATAGCATATCGTTAGCCAAGGCTGGATTGAAAGTCGACCTGGTTGGATATGCAGGTGGTTACAATAATACAGTGATTGATTGAATGATTCAAGTCATAAATCGATCATTAGGAATTCAGGATAGCATCTAATCCATATGACAAATGATATGCAATATTCAAATCGTTTGTCATGTCTTGTTACTATAATGAGTGCAGCGATGCTGAAGAACGTACGATCATTGACACTATTTGCCTCTTGTAGAGCAATGAAACCGATAGGACTCCTAGGAGACTAGTAGAGCACTAAATAAAGGTGCAGACTTGGCATTAGACTGTCAATAGAGTTAAGCAAAGAGATGTTCTCGGCTATTCCATGTAATTTTCTAATCGTTTGTCATGTCTTGTTACTATAATGAGTGCAGCGATGCTGAAGAACGTACGATCATTGACACTATTTGCCTCTTGTAGAGCATTGCAACCGATACGAGACTAGTAGAGCACTAAATAAAGGTGCAGACTTGCCATTAGACTGTCGATAGAGTTGAGCAAAGAGATGTTCTCGGCTATTCCATGTAATTTTCTAATCGTTTGTCATGTCTTGTTACTATAATGAGTGCAGCGATGCTGAAGAACGTACGATCATTGACACTGTTTGCCTCTTGTAGAGCATTGCAACCGATACGAGACTAGTAGAGCACTAAATAAAGGTGCAGACTTGCCATTAGACTGTCGATAGAGTTGAGCAAAGGGATGTTCTCGGCTATTGCTTACTAGTCTTTTAACATTGAAAGGTATATCCGAATTTTTCCTTCAATATGATACAAATACAATGTGTGTTATAGGAACTAAACCTCATGATGCTCTAATCGATCAAACCAACATCAAGATTCATGCCATGCAGCCTCCAACAAGTCTAAACGGTTAGGAAACCATAAAGTTGATTGCTATTAGTGATTTGGCTTTAGTTTTGTATAGGACATGAATAGTCAATAACGTCATCGGATCAAGAGATCAGACAATAAACAAGCCATGCACTTATCCTCCATAAATCCGCTAAATATAGCTATCAATCCTTCATCAGTACATCAAATAATGCTATAGTAACATGATCCATCTATTTAATTTAGGCCTTCCAGGACTTTTGCGCTACTTGATGAAAGCCATTTACCTTGTACTACAACTGTCCATATACCTTATGTTTAGAATATCAAAGCCTGATTTTCTATTACTTCAGGTTAAGCCAAGTGTTTCCCTTTTATACTAATTTTCTATTTGTACTGTAATACTAGGATGATGACACAAGAACAATAATCATAATTGAAAGAGAAGTAATATCTTGATGACTTTTGTATTTCAATATTAGAACCCACCTGCTTTCCCAACGATAGCTGTTGCTTGGTTTGTTTGTAGACTAAGAGGTAGTAAGTTGGTTATTGATTGGCATAACTACGGATACACAATTCTAGGCTTGACGTTAGGGAAACAACATATACTTGTACGACTATCAAAGTGGTAAGTAATAGTTAAACCTAATATAAACGCGTCGGTGCAATATTTGATCAGATTCAAATCTACTTCAATGCTCTTATCCAAACATAACATCAATGATAGGTATGAAAGGTTCTTTGGGAGATTATCAGATGCCAATTTTTGCGTTACCAATGCTATGCGCGATGACTTGCAAAAAAATTGGTCGATCAAGTAAGGCATTCGTATAGCCGTTAAATCTGTTGATCTAATTGCTGCATATTGCAATACATGTATGAGTCCTGTTTGGATCATCGAAGATTATTATAATGAAGTTAAATGTTTTTCCATATTTGTAACCAAGTATGATTAAAAATATTCATTTTGTACTAAATTGAGTAGAGCATTTACACTGTACGATCGACCTCCGGCTATGTTCAAATCATTGGATTTAGAAAGTAAGCATAAGGTATGCCAAACAGTAAATGTTGCTATGATAGAAATGATGTAAAATATTACAAGGACATTGACTGATGATGGGACTAAAACTACTCTACATTATAATAATTATGAATTGACTAGATAATTTCAGTCTTGGCCAACGAATATGAAATATTTCGAGGCGATTCTAGGTTGGATTTAGGATATTTTCTCAATGGATGAAACAACATTATTCTAATTTTTTTATTTGAAAAACCCATGTTGACGCTAAGTAACCGCCTTTAAATTTCTTGATGACGTAGCAATTCACAAGATACAGCATTTACTTACAAAGATGGAGAAACGATCAAATATAAGGCAGATAGACCAGCTCTTCTTATCAGTAGTACTAGCTGGACGGGTAAGAAATCAATAGCCAAGTAATCACTAGGATCATTTTGCACATATGACAATATCGAATTCATAAAATATTCAACTATTTCAGAGGATGAAGACTTTTCTATACTATTGAATGCACTAGAAGGTACTTGGTAGACTATTTACAAGTAGTAGTGCTTGTATCGTATCATTTCTACCTTAGTACATCAAAAATTTTCTGCTAGTAACCTATACTTGGAAAGTCTACGTTATTGGCGCATGATAAAATAAACTTTATTTCGTTTGCGAATTAGGATACGAAAATTTGGTTAACAATTTGCGTAATAGCAAAAAGTACCCGCGCTTAATTTGCGTAATAACAGGTCTAAACTACTGTACATAAACAACAGTTATTAATTTTGACTTAATCAATTTCGCTTTGGTTCTAATAGCTACAATTTAATGAATAGGTAAAGGCCCACTGAAAGAATATTACCAAGAATTGATTCAAAAGAAATCTTTTAAATGCATATCCATATGTACCCCTTGGTTGAAAGCAGAAGACTATCCTAAGATCTTAGGTTTGATTTACCCTTGCTGATATAATTAATTTGGCTGATTATGAGACTCCATATTTACGCTGTTAGTTCGGATGGTTATGGCAATAGATACTATTTTATGTGGCATACAGTAGACATGCAAATTGGAGAATACTCAATAATAATCACAATCATTTCAGTTACTCGTGTACTGTCGTGGTCTGTTATGCTTAGATAGTATTGTTGCTATCTACACACAGGTGCTGCCGATTTAGGTGTATGTCTGCATAAATCTTCTTCCGGTTTGGATCTGCCTATGAAGGTGATCATTTCTGTGACTTTCTTATGCTAGAGTTATCGTATTTCCAACTGGTAGTCTGTCAACGTTAACTTAATTCCTTCTTCTTGTCTACTGTAGGTTGTCGATATGTTTGGCTGCGGATTGCCAGTTTGTGCTATCAGTTTTGATTGGTTAGTTATACCCGGATGAGTTGTAATTGCCTGAGGGTGCTTTTTTTTTAGCTACCTCGAGTTCATTGGCAATGCTAATTTTTTAAGGGGAACGGATAAGTTGATTTATATGCTTATAGAATATATTTACCAACAATTGCAGCTTGCATGAACTCGTCAAACATGAAGAAAATGGAATGATATTTCAAAACGAGCAAGAATTATGCCTGCAGATGCAGGTCTGTTTCAATGATTTAATTTGTATTCACCGTGTCATCAATTTAATGCAATTTCAACACATTACTATAGGAATTGTTAAAGGGATTTCCTGATCAGCAGCGTAAAATAGACCTATTCAGAAAAAATTTAAAAACTTTTCAGCGTAAGAGATGGGAAGAATGCTGGAGGCAAACTGCCTATCCAGTTTTCTGTAGCTAAACCGATTACGTCACCCGCTGTACCATCATATTTCATGCAAATTTGAATGATTACTCCTCTTTCCATATTACGTCTAACACGCCAATTTCTTAAAGGTTAACGCTATAAGTTTATCTTTGCTTAATGTTTCTTGATAATCGAAGTGAAAATAGGTATTTATGACACCTCGCTTCTGCATTTGTACATCCGATATATCTATGGTACTTACAGATTGCAGATCTTTCACTATTGCAACAGTCATAAACTGTGATTGCATATGATTTCAATATTAAACCGAAAACTATGCGTTAGCTTATTTTTAGTCAAGCAAATACCAGAACGGTACAAGCTGAGAGATAATTGCTACCAATAATGCCAAACATTTCTACTTCATGAAATTATCTGTGGGCAACATTTTCATTGCATAATTGTTAACTTAGTTGAAATGACGGAATTTAAAAGCCCAAATTTAGCATCATCGTATAAACTTCATGATTTAATAGCTGAATATAATTCGATTCCAATTTTAAGTACAAAGTGATTACGATACGTACTAAATCTGATGTGCATAAATTATAATTTATCATGGAAGTAATAAAGGCTTTTTGTCAATATATCTTCGGATCAAGCTTACAAGATAGCAATAGCACAGTGATACTAGATTTGTAATCTAAATTATTTAATAAGTGGAAATTATCCTATTTCAGAGTTATTTTCGAAAAATATCTTGTTACTATCTTCTTGTACAAAAATGTATGTTATCAAAACAGCAAATTTGGGCTTAACATATGTAAATACTTGTAATAAAACGTCTTTTTGATGTCTATAAGGAATAATTCAAGTTCATTTTCTTACGCTCAAAAGTTCTACTTCCAATTACTAATTATCATTGACCGAGAATAAGTGGTTCATGTTGTCATAATAAAGCTCATTTCTTCATCATTTAGATAGGAATTTAATAGGCATAACGCTAGCAAACTCCAGGGTTTTATTTTACTTGCTTTCATTATCGGATTTCAGGCCAAACCTCCACTTTGATGGCCAAGAAATTGGCCATTCAAATTCGTTTGCGACAGGCTCAACATTGTATTCAAAAACTACAAACATGGGTAAGTAACTAAATGTTCTACCTCGTTGACGTTGGCGAGCAATACGTGAATTAGCTAAAGCATGATAATAGATAAAGAGACGTGTAGTAATATAATATCCAATTAAAACGTCTATAGAGTAATGTTCGTGTGCAGCTAAAATAAAGAAAATGCCAGATAGATTGAGAGTCCACGTAAGAAAATGGAGTAAATGCCAGCTATCAGGTGTATATTCTGTGATAAAGAAGTTACTTAAAGTAACGGCGACAGTATGCCCACTAAATAGGTAATCGCCACAAGTTCGAACTCCGGCAATAGTCATGCCAAAACCGGACCATATTTGTATAGCACGATTCATAATGGAAGCGAAATCACCATTTGTCTTCGAATCGCATTCTAAATGGCGACCAGGTATGGATAAAGAGGTAACAAACATAGTGGCACAACGGAGTAAAAAGACAGTGCCAGCAATGGCGCATAGTCTTCGTATAATAACAAAGCGATGTTTATGAAATACGATAATGATTCCCAGTAAGATGAAGAGGCTTAAAGCTAGAAAATGGAAAGAAAGAAGATCATGTCATTAGCAGGAAAGCTGTTTAATCCTAAACTGTGCACTTGATACAGAACCAGTCGGTATTATATTATAGACAGCAATCAATTCTGTAATTCTTCGCGTATACGAGTGAGGGTACTGTATAGCGTTTATGATCAGAGATCCATCTTTCCATCTTGATGATGGTCGTGAATAGGATGGATGTTTGAGTAGTACTGTGGATTAGTAACAGTAGCATCAATAAAATAAAATTGACAAAATACGAATATAGTATAGGATTTAAATCTTGGGATAAGGTAAGTGACAATGAAGTGAAGTAAAGCTAGAACTTGTGAAATATAAAGAAAGAATGGCGATGGAGCGGAAATCGTCTACTGTAACATACTATAGGTACGTGCAAATCATCTATGGAACCTTCAATAGGTAATAACTCATGCATAGCCAAAATTGCTATCGATTGACAACAGTAAGAACATAGAAAGCACCTATCAGGCTACTGCTGAAACATTATCCATTGAGTTTATAAAGTGATGAATAATCAGATTAAACTAAGGTAGAATTATAAGCAAGTTACCAATTTTTGACACTACAATATACGAATACTTTGAATCTAAATCTTGTCATGACACGAAGATCTAGATAACATACGATGCATGAAACTGTCTGATTGGATTTGGGCTGTTGCATTTTAGCGAATCAAGCCGTATACCATGGCAGTGCATGTCAGCATGATTAAAAAAGAAAAAGATCCACACTGGAGATGTTTATTATTTGAGCGTGAACAAGAATCAACGATTGTCGTTAATAAAAGGCCATTCATGAACAATTGAATCAACATCTTCTACCGATAGTTTCTACAGTATACCGTTTACTGACAGTATCGATAATCGATTTATTTGTGAGAATGGAGGGAGCATGGTCGTTGTAGTAAAATGAATTAACGAAAGAGCAACGTTTCAAATGTTAACCTTGAGGAACAAAGAGTTGCTCAATAAAGGAAGAAATGCGCGTCCACAATAGTGCTACCCTAAGGTGATGCTGGCAATTAATGTTGATGTAAAATGGATCCAATCTATTACTGGTAAAGTTTAAGTGATTGAGTGTAGACTGCTCTATCACTCTATTTCAACTTCATGAACGATCTCATCAATCCATCGTGTTGTATAAAATCAAGCAATTTTGAATTCAATCATTCATGTCACGATCAGTGCAAACAATATTAACCAACGGAATAATGTGGTTAGAATAAATGATACTACTGTTCATGAATGCTTGATGTATCTGAGTGATGGAGTTCGCTGGTTGTACAAATAAAAAAAACTACAGTAACCAATCTACCCTACAGACGTTATAATTGGTCGGTAGAGCGATCAAAAGTAGGAACAAGTTTGGCTGACATCTTATACAAACTTGAAATGGCAGAAATGAACAAAACATCATGAATGTACTGGATAGACGAAGTAATTGGAGTATTTACTGGCATTTTCTTTGTTGTTGTTATTTGGGTCAGGGAGGAGGGGGCACGGGTAAGCATTTCGGAAAGAGTCATTACTTTGGGAAATATGTCGTGTATGTAAGGGTTAATTTTTTCATTTCTACGGGTATCTATTACAGATCATGAACGTTCCATATTGGATAGCACAGTAAACAGTCTGCAATCAAGATGGAGCTGAAAGCCGTGGGGGGGGGGGGAAACTGCTAAGCTACAGTCGTTGTTGTTGATGGTGAATAGTGAATGATCGTCCAATGATTCTCCCATAACTTGATTGGGCTGTAATAACAATCCTATTTTACTTGTTACTTTTTCAAGCATGCTGATGACAGCGATTCAATAGTTTAAGTAATTATTATTTTTTAGAAGGTTTTCATCGTCGAGTCTCGAGCGGCGTGTATGATGGATAAAACAAGATATTTTATACAGCAGAATAGGTGTTTTAATTAATGTTTGATGAGATGAGCAAGACGAGAGAAAGGATCAAGTTGGAACAATGTTCAATCAATCAATGCCTTACCGGTGATCTCGCACAATTCAAAAGAGTAAGGGATGACTGGGATATTATCCAAGACAATATCCGGCAAAGGAGGGTAAAGTTTCTTGTCGGGTACACGTTCATGAACAATTGTCATGACAATGGCGGAGATGAGAAAGGATCCTAAAGCATAAGCTACGGCAATCAACGCTTTCCAACGATCGGAAATAATATGGAAAGGACTTGCTTGTGCTGATCGATAGCCATCACTGTCATTCCACAGTGTTGTACCACACTGAGAGCATGACATGGAAGCACCATCTTGGCAATCATGATGGAAAGCATTGACTGTAATCGTTCCTTGTGTCGGAGTGGATTTGCAATGGCCATTGGCAGCAAACCGATTGGAAATGAATGGGTGGCCATTGGTAGGTTGAACGTGTCCTTTCAACTCTTGGATATCCAACCAGATCCTTTTTAAATCGCCTAAACATGTGGCTAAACCATCTAGCAATCGTAAATCTTTCTCCTTTAAGGCAAGTAAAGCACGGCCATCCATTTTATTCTTCTTAAATGTATCAATATACTCGCAGTGTCCACGATCTTGTAACCAATCTGCTACTTCATGTGGTGTCCAACTGAGGACATTGTCATGGCTGGCCATTTTCTCCTGTGCAGTCATTGTAACCGTTGTAAAGCACTTTTTCCTCTTGATGCAGTAGTCCACCAAGTCCTCGTAGGATGTTGCCTCTTTAATTTAGCCTTGTACAACAAGCACTCGATAACCCAAGCCAAGCTTGAAAAGCAAATACTTACTAACAACGATGACTACATGGAGGATGGAGAGGAGAGAAAGTAGAGGAAGAATCGATCCAACTCTCGCCAACAACAACAACAACTCATTCCCCTACGACGTCAACAGAGTCAGTCAATCGCTGGATGACGTGACGCCTGTCATGCAAATGACGTCCAATAACCTTGACACCTTTGCACGTCGCTTGCTCTTGTCGCTGATACTGTGTACTGTCACCAGCGACGCATGTACGTGCTAGTCCAAATGACGTCACGCAAGATGAATGACATGCCCACCATCATCCTCATCAATAAAGAAGAATCATAACGGTTATCCTAGCGCTGAATCACCAGAGTGGCCAAGGCGAGTTACTATGGGCAAGAATGCCATTGGTGAGTTCCACTAGGCGCGATTGTTGATTTGTCTCGTCGCTGAACTTGGTAGGGAGAGTCACTTTGGGGGACGTCACCTCCACAAGTACAGTACTTGACACGGTACAGTTGAGAGACTATACTGTACTGTACAGTACAGTAGTATGGACGAGTCACTTATCGGGACGTCAGCTACACATGTCCTGTATTGTACTTGACACGGTACAGTTGAGAGAATTGGACCGGTCACTTTTCGGGACGTGTGTACAGTGTACACATGTACTGTACTGTACAATTAAGTGTACATACGTTAGCCCTGATCGAATGTATTAGTAGGACAGCTTCAAATTCAACGAAGTGTACAAAGTAATTTATGCAAAATGATCAGGCCTACTGCACATACTTGACACGGAGCAGTTGAGAGAATGGACGAGTCACTTTTCGGGACGTCGCCTACACATGTACTGTACAGTGTACGTACTGTACTCGACGCGGTACAGTTGAGAGAATGGACGAGTCACTTTTCGCGACGTCACCTACAGTACTGTACAGTACACTGTCCTACAGTACACATGTACAGTACTGTACTGTACTGTACAATGTACTGTACTTAACGCGGTACAGTTGAGAGAATGGACGAGTCACTTTTCGCGACGTCACCTACGTACTGTACAGACTTGACACGGTGCAGTTGAGACAATGGACGAGTATCACGTACAGTATTTACTCTTTACTTGAGCTTGGGGGCGTACTGTACTGTACTACGTCATTCCTATGTCTATTCCAATTGGTGTATCGTCGACCAGTTTCCTGCCCAGACACACCTTCGATATTGCAATTTTTGCATCAAGTTGTACTAGATTGATTGCAAATGCATGCTTTTAAAACACAACAGGCCGTCGTTGTTGGTCGAAAGGTTCATCACCATTGGTCTTTTGCAGCGTTGTACTTGCCCTTTTGACTATACAAGCATATCCAAGAAACAGATTCCATGAGTGGGCCCAATGCATAGTCAAGGCAGAGTACTAGGGCAGTCAAAGTACGTACTGCTGGGATCTCGAAACTCTCGCAACCATGCTCACACAATAAATCAATAAAGCAAGAGTAGATCCTTCCAATGGAGGCGATCTCGTTTTCCTTATAGTTTTGACTATTTAATCACATGCAAGAAAACAGATTACATGAGTGGATCAAATGCATGGTCATGGCGGAGCACTATGACAGTCAAAGTACATACTGCTGGGGTCTTGAATCTCTCGCAACAATAATAAATTAATTAATTACTTAATAAAGCTAGAGTAGATCCGTCCAATGGAGGCGATCTCGTTTTACTTGTAGTTTTGACTATTTAATCACATGCAAGAAAACAGATTACATGAGTGGACCAAATGCATGGTCATGGCAGAGCATTGTGGCAGTCAAAGTACATACTGTACTGCTGGGGTCTTGAATCTCTCGCAACAATAATAAATTAATTAATAAAGCTAGAGTAGATCCGTCTCATCGAATGGATCCCGTTTTACTTGTAGTTTTGACTATGCAACCATATCGAAGAAAACAGATTACATGAGTGGACCAAATGCATAGTCATGGCAGAGTACCGTTATGAAGGCTTGAAGAAAACCGTAGTCCTACTAAAGTAAAGTACAGCACAGTACTGGACTATGATTCCATGACGGTGAAAGGACATGCTTTACCTAACTACAACTGGTGCAGTAATCACAAACGCAGGTAGAAAAGTAAACACCTAGAAAAATGAATTTTCAAAAGATAAAACACATGCATTTCGTCGTGCTTACACTAATTCTGTCTTAGTGTTTACGGTGCAATGGATTAATTATACACAATATACAGTAGATTACTATTGTACAAAATTGGCCAACATCGAATATGTTACCACAAAAAATGCAGTGATCGTTGAAAGAGATACCGCAATTTGATATGAGCATTGAGCAGGAGTATTGGACATTTTCTTCAATCGACTATCGTACTCATTTACCAACATGCCTTGACAAAATTCCAGTCAGTCCAATAACGTAGGATAGATGGCGACGAGTAGAAAGTAGAGGCATGTTGCTAGCACTATTTGCATCATGCCCATTGATGCTAGTTACTGTACTGTATAGTCAAAAAAGAAATAGGTATTTTGCGGAAGCGACCTGAAACATAATTCCTCCAATACTGTAGATCGTGTATTATTTGACTTCACTATCGCCTTTCTTTCAAAAGACTTGAAAGAGCAATAGCCGATTTAGATTAGTAACTCACTCAAAATGTTACATGCAATCATCCCTCCAAGAGCGACGTGATGAATTCAGCCATAGTAGCAGGGCAGTCAAACCCTCAATAGCGACGCAAATCGATGACTGTAGCCGTCGATAAAATGGGTAACTATGGACTACAACTCCAAAGAACGATGGCGAAATAGAATTTGTCATTCCTATTCTTATATTGAAGTGCAAGATCAATTTGCACTTGTAACTGGTTAAAATACCAAATTAATAAGATTGTTGAAACTCTTACGAATGAGGCTAATTGATCAATCTATAGTTTATTGCGCTTTTCTACATCAATAAGTCAATATGTGTCATGCTCAGCAAGGATAGCAATACACCTTAAGGCATCATTAAAAACTACATAGATCAATGATAAAGCAAGTAGTAGTAATATCAGATCAATAATAACCGGCCAGCATGGATTGTTCATTCTACTCTAGAGAATAATCGTATGCCTTTATCCTATCAACTGAGCTATTTCACCTTCAATTACATAAATAACTTTAAAGTGTAAATATCTATACAAAGCTTATAACGATCACTTTAGATTGGATAATACAATAGAGTAGGAATTCAACATGAATAAATGCTAAATCAAATCAACTACTAAATTACAAACTATTTAGTAAACTTAATTTAGCGCATGATTCAGCATGAATGGTAGATGCTATTACTTATTCGATAGCCTTCAACAAGAAGAAATATGAGATACAGGCTAATAACTATGCGTAGATCCCACCCACAAATTATGATATTTTCCATCGTTTATAATGACTATCAGAATTACCAGGCAAGAAAATCGTTATTATCGGCAGCAAGAGTCGTTAATGCTTCTTTTAAACCCAAACTACCGGATGCTGCTGATTGTTGATAATATGGTCCGTTACTCTTGATGTTTGTAACTTGGTCCGCGGTCAACTCAGTTTCATATAGAGCCAAATCATCTACATCAAGGACGATATCGCAGTAAGTATCATGGATGCAATCGATATCACTAACATTATAAACTATTGGAATTCAATATAGAAACTTATTTTTTGCCAGCACTTTGGCCAAATTCATTGATACGATTAGTTTCCATTGAAAATACAATTACCGATGCTAACGTCCAAAATTTCGTTTGTGAAGCCGTTTCCATCAGTGTATTGAGCACCCAAAATGATATTTACCAATTTATTCTCATAAGGGCCACCAGGCTGCTCTGATAAAAACACCAAAGAGTCACTTGTAACGTCTTTACCATTTAAGTATAATTTTAGCGCTAAAATAATGGAAAAAAAAATTAAAAATGAGACATAGACATCATATGAATATTCTTAATCATAAGCTTTCAGATCCATGCACGAGAAGAGAGAAATGAAAGGCATGATAGAAAGATATCACAACATCTTGCAGTATCACTTTCATAAGGGTCCGTTCAAATCAAGTCTTAGTTATTGGCAAAAAAAAGGTTTAGGCTTATAGCACTATAGAGAAATATAACGGTAGCCCTTTTCGCGTATCGTGATTCGCTTATATTTCTGCGGCGTAATAATTAATGATTATTCAATATTTAAAGTTATAAGAGGGTCAGAGATGGCGACTGATATTTCGCCTTTGGGCCATCAGTAGCCATAGAATTGTTAAGGTTTGATATCGTAAAATTCTACATTGTTATTATTTTATTTCTCCCTTGTCATAGTCAGTCAAATTATATTGCCATCTCTTTGTTCTGTCAAGTGACTAATTGAATCATTCTTAATAAAAGTAAACACTTAAGCCTTGTGAAAAGTCGAACTATTTAAAATGTTCTTTCTGTATAATAAACACTTCAGTTATGCCTTGTGAAAACTCGGACTATTTGAGCTTTGATTAAACGACGAAATGACTAGCAGAATCGTTCTTTCTGTATAATAAACACTTCAGCTATGCCTTGTGAAAACTCGGACTATTTGAGCTTTGATTAAGAAACTACAAAAAATTAAGCTACGTCTACGAGATTTCTCTTACCCACTCGTATCATTCAATCTAGTAGAGCTACATAGTGATAACCTATAAACTAACATAATTTATCGTATATGTACATTATGCCACATCGAAGCTGTAAATCGATTAAATAGAACCTTCGTCGACTACATTATTTTCTCATATGTTCAACCAATCTAATTACGATAGACGCATAAAGCAGGAAAGACCTATTGAATGATCACAAATTGTCTCTGACTGACTTCTCAGACTATATTTTCTCCAACCATCATGTCATATCATTATACAGTGCAACGAATACTTGATGGACTAATATAATTAAAGTCGAATAACTTCCAATTTGCAAACAAATATATGAGATTCTTTTGTTAAAGTGATCGAGTACATTGTCGACTGATTTAACATTAATTAAACAAGCAAAGTCTTCCTTCATTAGATGCTTTAAATATTGCATTATCCTAAATATACCAAATGAATAGATAGCGTATAAAACAAGATAAACCCCAAAATAAAAAATTGAACGATGGAACCAGCAAGATTATCGCTATGTCATATTAGCATTTAAAGTAATCTAAAACTCTAACGCTTGATGGCAACAGGAATAAAGTTAAATCCAAATTTGCTCTAAATCGTTAAGAAAAGTGTCGTACTTAGTTATAATTTAAACGCACGAATAATGGAATGTTTACTTTGACTCAGTACTTGCTTCTATGATGTCAATCTTTAAAATAGTTATAAATTCTACAATGCAACACTCATGATATTACTCTATTGAATTCAACACTGCAGACTACTTATGCATCATTTTGGTCTAGTTATTTATTTCTAACAGAAATGATCTACTCTTAACGCATGATTTTAGCAGTATCACATCGAATCCATATCTAGAGCTCGAGATTAATATGATGATACTAGTATATCGATTCTGATTAGAATTGAACAACTTACATCCTGTACTGCTTATTGTTACAGCTAAATGGGTCCATGTTTTCGCAGGAAATGGAAAATAGATACTCGTGTCTATGGAGGAATTTACATAGCGAAAGGACATGTATCCACCGCCTACAGTATCAATACTGTAGCCTCTTGTTAATCCAGGAGAATGACTTAAAGTAGTAAAGATACAAGATGTTTCATCACCACCTATGTTATTTTTTAACCACATTGCCATAGAGAAACCGCTTGTACATTTCGCTGGATCTTGAACACATTTATCGGGATACGATCCTAAATCGATATAATAATCATCTTTCGGCATATTTAACCTCAAGGAATTCAACGAACTAGACGTTGCGCCAGGTTCTAAGCCAATAATAATTGAATTAGACGATTTAGAAGCTGGCAGTGACGATAGTACTTTCTTAGCGTTGAACGTGCCTAGTAATTCGCTATCGACGATTTCATCCATAGGCCAATATAACGGAGTTTTGTCTGCAAAGTTACATTAATCGACACTTACTTCATAAGACAAGTTCAATTACACAATCAACATTTAGCTATTATTTTACCATAGCATTCGTAATAGAGGTTAATGGCTACATAATCTAAATATGAGTAATCTGTTGCACTTCCTATGCTTGCTCCATTTGCAATAGGCGTAATAACAGCAGTGCCATCCGAGCTGTAGTCATGGGTTCCATAATGAAAGACCGAATTATAGTCGTATTCCAAATTGTAGGTAACTGCAGTTAGCTCTGGCTGAAAATTCTTCACATTGCCTAAAGATTTAAACTGTACATTAAAGGTTGAACTTGCATTGCATGCAGTATGGTGTGTCAGCAAATTGTTGCAAGTAGTAGCTCGATTTTTCAGAGATTTTCAAATATCTTGCTTATCCTAGCCTAATTATCATACCTTATGGCCATGAGTATAAACTTTTATAATCTTAGACGTTTTATTTTTAGTCATTATAATACAGATGATGATGGAAATTATCAATTTACTCTCTACCTACTACTGACAAGTAATATTCGAAAATTGAATACTATTTTCATAACTCGTTATCCACTTACTGGAATCAATATTATCCGCGTTAATAGATATATATTTATTCCTGTCCAGGCGTGAATGGGTGTGATATAAGCCAATCGCATGGCCTATTTCATGCTTAACAGTTGCGATATTCTCACAATTAGAGTCAAGAGATACAGCTTGCCTACCACCTATTCTCCCAACTACCGAAGAACAACTGCCAATAAAAAAATGGCCATTAGAAGTCAAATAGCAACATAATGCATTAACTTATATTAAACTGAAAAATTAAGATGCGATTTCATAAATATTAATTCTAATACAAAATTAAGCAATGAATTAGAAAGAATTGTAAGCAGTATATCTCGAGACGGAAAAGTAATAAAACATTTAGGTTACAGAATTATCAATTTTTAATAACGGAATAATTCCATTGAAAATTTTATTGACTTTCTACCTACCTCCAATAATAGCAAAGGTACAAAAATTAATCAATGCTATATTTTTTAACTAGTAACTTAATTGACCTTATTTCCAAAAACATCTTTTATACCTAAATTTTTCCTGAACGAACTATAATTATGCACGGAGAATTTTAGGGTTGCTTCATTGATTTACCCAGACTATTCCATACTCTTAACTCTCTTAACTAGAATTACTAATGTACTTTGAAGCCTTGGTGTGGTTATCAGTTGCCATTAATATTTCAAAATGACTTTTGCAATTTTAAAGCATTAATGAGTCATAGATCGACAGATAGAATCAAATTTACGTTCTGTTTTCATCTTCTTTCTCGTAAGTAAATTTGCATCATTAGCAACTCACCCAAATCCGATCTCAAAAGAAATATAGTCGACTTGGCTAGTTCTTTGGGAAAAATTTAAGCAAGTATTCGCTTCCAAATCTGCTATAGCTTGAGTTACTAACAATTGAGCATTTGCAGCTGTAAAATATATAACATCATTGCTATATTTTAGCGCATTGCAGTGGTAAAGTTCAACGGCTGCGCCAAACACTACGGTACTTAACTGTATTTAATGGCAAAATTAACTTATATATATGTTATATATAAGTATAATTTTGATCAATCAGGTTACATAGAATACTATTGATAGATATAAATGAATACTTATGTCTTATTGCATTGATTAATTTCAGAATAAAAATTCTAATCAATCAGTTAGTTTACAGTAGTTTGCAAGATCAACTTTGAAAATTTCGCTCGTACTGTTCAATTCTAACAACAGATCAACAACTTGAGTAATATATCAGCCGTAGCCTTAGTATCGGCATACATATGAAAATAGGCTGCTGCATAACATTTCTATAACCTTATCAATTTCACTTACATTTAGTAACTTTATATCACTGTAAGGTAAGAATTTTTTCGCGGTAAATTACAGGAGTAAAATTTAATTTGTGCATTCATGGAATAACTTGACTATGCAATACTAATTTGCTAAATCAAAGATTATATATTGACTAATCTGACATGAACATGAAAAAGTAATGCTTTCTTACAATAAATAGGGCCTAACGTGAACTTAAAATACAACAGAATGCAAGTAAAGATGTAAAGCCTTGGCCCACTTACATATGCCATTAAAACTGTACGGAATTGGTAATGGCCATTTTTGCCATGATGTTGAAGCAACTGCATTCCTATTATGTATTCGGTTTGCAACATCGTTGTGAGTTTCTCCTAACAGTTTTTCCTTGCTTATGATATGAGAAGTTCTTTTTCGTACTTTGCCATTATATCTGGAGTCTGAAATATAATTCGTTTTAAAAGAGCAATTAATGTTCACATAAAATTATATTTTGTCTAGCTAGATTGATACTTTCACAAAACCCAAATAACTGCTTTGTGCGCGTATGATTAAGAAACGAAGATATCTGATCGAATAGTATTACTTGGAAACCAAAACATATTTTCAAATGCAAATTCGAGAAAGGTGAAACGGTGATTCCGAACTAGCAGAATTTCTACATCAATCATGACTTCTTTTGACGGAGTCTATAGCCGCAGATACGCGGATATCATATGATAGAAAGTATGGACACTATGCAAGCAGGGGAAAATACAGTAGCGCGAAATGATCGTATATGAAAATCATAGCTCAGAAAGTCTTCCTCACTTTTAGTACTTAACAATGGAGCATTAATAGCTTCATTTTCGGTAGCAATAAATAAGCAAGTATAATCAAGAAGCCTTATTATTGAAGCTATCATTAAAAGAAAGCATGCTATTCTACAGTTATGTCTATTAATTTTGAGGTGTCGTTTTGGTTAAAAATTTTTCACAAAGTCATATAGAATAAATTTTAATTTCAGATAAACAGCTAAATGATAATCAGTCGATTAGTGGAGTTATTAAGAAGTTAGTTTATTACCCAATGCATAAATACTGCGTAGATTTTTTGTTACCTAATGTATGTAATAGAAAGCCGTTGTTTGAATAGGATTCTGAATCTAAGCCAAAACGGAACCGTTCATTTCTACCCTTATGAAATTCAGCGTTTCTTTTTTCGTACCAAGATCTACCAAGATCTTGATAGCCTAATCTCACCAGGCGATCATGTTCCGAGGCATTAAGATAACTCATATCCACTGAATGAATATGGGCTAAAAAAGTATATGTACATAGCAGTAAGATTAATTTCATCTTGATGAACGATCTTGTATTGAAAAATTTCTACAGTAATTGGAGAGGACTCTCTTCAGGTCAACACAAGTAACGATAATTCTTGAATTTTTACGTTATATTTCGTCAAGTGATGCAAAAAGTTACCTACAAGGCCTTTTATATATGATTTATGGCTAGGTTATGAGTTTTATTCTAACTCTAACAATTCCTAGTTTAATTAAAATTATTCTTAGCTTATTTATTAATTCTTCTTGAATCGGTGAATAACGTTGCTAAAAGATAATTAAAAGCAACAGCACCGATAAAAGCCGATGGAATGAGTTACTTTCTATTCTAATTATTGGATGTAGTATGTTCACTTCCTTAATATACATTATACTTTACCTCATCATATATCACTGATCTTTATCCTCTTATATGAGATTATATATTTATTGTTTTGATATAATTCTAAATTCTCCATCTATCTAACCACGCACTATGCTGTAAAAGCCATTTACAATTGAAGCCTTTTTCTGTGACAATCTTTCTTAAATATTTCGCTTTCATTTTCTAGATTCTAACTTTATATTTTTACCGTAATACCTGCTATAATAACTTCAATGATCTGATTAAGTATTAATATGAAGATTAACTGTAATAATGAAAGCAATTGGAATAATCTGGTAATCCTGATTTAATTTTGTAAAGTTTTTGTCTAATAAATATTCTTCCGAAATGATGTGTTGCGGTACCTGTATACCTACGGGCCTGATCAGAATTCAATTCTGATCATATATGATTTCTAAATGACGAATTTTTATTTCTATCACTATACGCTTCATCAAGTGTTAGAAATTTCTATGTAAATACTAGTAGCCATTAATGTGAGGAAATAGTAGTAGAAATTTTTCCTTGATACTCTGATATTCCTAGCTGAGATTTATGTCCACGAGTAAATGAAATTGTTTACGACGTATTCACCATATACTAGTCCTTCCGTTGTCCTTAGATTCTAGAAATAGTTTCGAAAATAAACGTTAATTAAAATTCATTCTATAAATAGGAGATATTTTTTAGATATCAATTATAAGAGAAATTACACTACAAGTTTAAATTTAGAACGTCATAACATATTGAAAAAATTGTACGTGCTACATTTTCAATTGAGTTTTAGTACTTCTAACTTTTGAAACAGCACAATACTAGATCTATTTTTAAATAAAAGTAATATTTCAAAGCAATTAAGTTCTACTCAATGAAGGTGTCAAAGGCATAAGTAAGAAGAAATAGATGATCTGTTTTTATCACATTCTTTCGAATAAAATTATGGAATGATTAAAGCTATTACTAGGATGTTGGAAGAATATGGCTGTCGCTTTTTGTAGAAGATAATTAAATCATAGGATTACTAATTACGCTCTTTTAAAAGTAAGGTTGCAAATATAGAAATATTCAATTATCTTTTATATGTGAAAGAATATAATAATGACTGCAGCATAGAACTGCCTCATCAAAACGTATCTGTTGTAACAGTTCTTGTTATTGTGGCGCGGTAGTTATCGTATTAAGGAATCAATATATCTATATTCCTGCAATATATAATAAGGGTCAGTCCCATAATAACTAAAATTATCTGATAACGAGTATTTATTATTATGGCTCTTATTGATTAACTCAGTGTATATTTTTGAGATACAGCCCGTTGGATAAACAGAAAGTTCAACATCATGAATAAATTATTATTAGCCTATGATTAGATTGCACCTGCTTATCATGAAGTGTTGCTTTATCTATATTTTAATGTCTATTTGTTCAAAAACTCTCCCAATGCTAGTATATATTTCAATATGGAAATAAATTTCCGAAGTTTTACTTTAAATGATTACTTATATCGTCTACCGACATCTATTACAACGTTCTTGTTGAATAAATTTCTTGCTTGCTATTTAAGTCGCTGTGTAAGGTTAATCTACCTTATATCCTCGATGCTCAACTATAGAATACTTTATTATGAGTTTATGGTGCTATAGATGTTTGATTGGTAAATAATTCAAGTGTATCGTAACAATAATCTAAAATATGTTGACAAATAAACTAATAATAATAAGTGTGGCTAAATAACATATATGGCTTATTGGCTAAGTATTGATCAAAATGACAACAGACAACTTATTTGTATGTTCTGTTTTGTTTTATCAGCCAATGAATTTCAGGGTGTGAATAAGATGATCAAAAATTTAGCTAGCTTTGATTTTTTACTCAACTCTGCCAGCTTTGTGCAATACAGAACGATTATTATCACAGGCATAAAATTACGGCAACTTCATCTTATAAACTTTCTAATCTTGCTATTTCTAGGAAGTGTTAATAAGATTCAATACAAAGTATCTATGGAAATGATTATAACTTAGCGAAGTGACTAAATTAACATCCTTTATCAATAGTCTGACAGAATCGAAGGCATGCTAGAGCTATTTTACCTAAGTGGAAGGAT